TATATGTCATCCTGAGTGAAGAAGGGGATGGGGGGGGGGGTCTGAGCCTTCAAAGGAAAAGGGAAGTAATTCACAGGAATATAAAAAGAGCAAATGTTTCATAAATATTTGCTGGGCCATACAGAAACAAAGAGGGGGCACAGTGAGGAATTTTAAACCCCTAGCTACATCCCTCCCAGTCTACCAGAACATAGTTTACATTATAATAGTTATCTACCGTGATAGCTCTCCTCCTGAAGCAGTTCCTCCACCTAAATTCTTTTTATGCAGTAGGAGTAGTGGTGGGAAGGTAAAACTATCTTCCTGAGTCTTTTGGGCCTTGACGGTTTTCAGCTCAAAATAATCTGCTTGTCACAATGGCACATCCTGGAGCGGCCTGCCCTTGGGTCCCCACACTTCACTTAACAAATAATTTATGTGTTGCAGATCTCCTATTTTGCAGCACCTTAAATTCAAATCTATGCCTCAGCAACATTGCAAATGATCACCTCAGGGGGGATATATATGGAAAAGCTGCAAACAGAAGTATGTTAACATATGGAAATGCACAAATATCTGTTAACAATTTTTTCTTAAGGAAGTCATATTTCTTTCCATTATATAAATGCAAATAGTTTTCTTTCTGACCCCTTGAACATGCTAAGATCATAATATTTGCACCTTTAAACATCTACTCCTTTTGTTCACTAAATCTTTCTCCAGTCCTAGAATAGTGATTTATATACAACTGACATTCAATAAATAATTTTTGAATTAATGAAAGAATGAATTTAGGGACTCTAAACATGATTCAGTTTCAAAGGGATATGTCCATTTGAATTTTCCCATTTCATAAATAAAAGTGAGACTTTAAAATCTAGCTGTGTAGCTTGGGTTCCACTAGAATAGAGTACTATGGAAGATAACAGTTCTTACAAGTATTACTTAATAAATCTCATTCATTTGAAATCACTACAAAATTCCAGACATACATCTGTTGGGGAGTTGAGTTTATTCTCCTTGGTTTTTGTCCTCACTGTCACAAAGAATTGAAGAGTGGAGACACAGTAGTGAAGCAGAGTTAAGGTTTTATTTGAATACACTCCAAGGGAGGAGCAGGACAGGCAAGGTAGACAAAGGCAGGTTTACCTGAATAAAGCAGAAAGGAAGGAAAAACAGAGGGAGGAAAGGGAAGCTCATTTACTGCTACTTGGCATAGGGCACACCCCCTGCCAACTCCTTAAGCCAGAGTCACCTAGTGTCCAGTGCCTGCTTGAATCTCCACCATGTAGGAACTAAACCCCTACCATCCCAGGATTTGGGGGAGCCACAGAGCACTGGATGCAGTGAGATTATGTTCTGAGAACTTCCCAAAGGAAAGAAGATTTTCAGGCAGGCTACTAAGGAGCACAATCATATAGCTGCAGATCCTTCGGGGTCACCTATGTGACAGGAACTTGCAAGCCCCAGATCAGAGCTCTCAGCAGCCTCTCCCTACTTATCTGGAGTAGAACAGACAGAGTGACACACTTAAAGAAAGGTGAGTGCAGGCAATCTCAGAGAGGAAGTGCACTTAAGGAATTAGGGTTCTGGGGCTTTATAAGGTTTCTGGAGTAAGGGTCACCATAAGGCATGATATTATATTCAGGTGATTCATAATTCCTTTGAAGTTTTGCCTTAAGAAAAGGGTTATTTAGGTGACTGTGTTGGTCCAGATCCCAGCATTCTTTGTCCACATAGGTTTATTTACACTTTGGAGATCTGTCTCTTGTTCTGCTTACAAACTTCCTTAGGAGACTAGAGGAAGAGGGGAAAAAAACAGCATATAGGTTAAGTTAAAAAATAAGATAAGCTGGGCCTTTTTGCAGGCTAAGTAGATTTCACAATGGCTTAATCTGATTGATACAATGAAGACATGGCTGTGCTCAGATACTTCTCTTTATCTAGGGAGCATCCCAACATTCTAAGTCACTCATGGCCTTTAGAACTTCAACTAATTAACTTATTAACTCTGTGAGTACCTTCTGGTCTCTAGTTTTATCTGGTTAACCCTCTGAGTCCCTTTAAGTGGGCTTTACTGGCCTTATTCTCCCTCCACCCACTTATGTCTACCATTCTGCCTAACACAGCTAATTCACTTTATTGGGTTTCAAAGAAACAAATTTTGTGAGATTTTAAAAATAATTCCTGGTAAATTGTAAAGGTGTTCTCACTAATTCTCAGCAGATGCCTTTAGTCAATGAAGCACTTGTTTAAGATTTCTACCTGCTGCCTGTTATAAAACATGTATCACTTTTAAATATATCATGTTTAGTTCTATTTAAAATAGTTTAAAAGTTGGAGAAAATGGTTTAAAAGAACATTACATAGATTATAAGGGTGAACACAAATCTAAACTTCAAATGTGAAAGATCCCATGGTGTGAAGGGAAAAAGAACTTTTGAAAGGAAAGGAGCGACACATAGCAGCAATTCACCGGAGAGTTCCGCTTTATTAGGGAAAGGTGCTGGGTTATATAGGAGGGGGCATGAATTGATTGAGGTGTCACTTCTACGGGGCTGGTGGCTGTTGGCTAGGTGCTGGGATTGGGAGGGGGGCGAGAGGTGATTGGGCTTCAGGTGGCGCCGGCGGGAACTGAGGACCCCGAAGAGAAGCCGAAAGTTTGCCATCTTACTGGTGGGGACCCTTCAACTTTTCCTCACTCTTCCCTTGTCTTTAGCTTTTCGAAGACTTGAAATTATAAATCTCTGTGTCTTTGAGATGTATGTAAGTCTTCTTAAAAGCTAATTGGGCCTTTGTCAGTTTAGTATCCTGTGTCTCTCAGAGTCCTCAGAGCCATCCCTTGCAATGGGAGCATCGGTGAGATGACACCTGTAAGTCCGGGAAAAGGAAATCCCGTGGCAAAGTACCTCTAAAAACCAAAATCAGTCAAAGGGAGAAATAAAGTTTAAAACCCGTTTATTGCTTACAAAACTGCAGTCCAGACCATCTCTCTCTCCTGCTCAAGCAGCCACGACCCCGGGCCTCCCCCTACCTCTCAGGTACCGATAAGCCCTCTGTTGCCCAGGTAATCACCCACTGATATGGAGATGAACTTCTCCACCCCTGAGGAAAGATGCAAATGCACTAAAGCCTACTAGTTTACACCTCTGAACCCCTATTGATATGCAGATGTACCAAAGCCAGGTGAGATATTCTGGAAATACTACAATTTTACCCACAGCACCCTCCCTGTCTCTGTGGCAGTTCAGCCTTGGTACCTGGCTCTGAGGTGTCACTTAACTACTTGTCAAAAAAATAGTTTTATTTTTCCTTGGATATATCTGTAATGGATTATACTTGCTGCCTATATAAAGAGTAGGATTTCTTTTTGCCTTTGAAACCTCTTTAGCATATTGCCCACAATACACATCAGGCTGGTTTAATGATTCTATGCTTCATCCTTTTCTACAGTTTGTGAAGAGGATTCACTGTGTACCTTAGAGGTGAGGGGGAAGGCTGGGGTTGTTGCTGCTTGAGCAGGTGAGAGAGATGGGCCTGACTGCAGTTTTGTAAGCAATAAACGGGTTTTAAACTTTATTTCTCCCTTTGATTTGGGTTTTTAGAGGTATTTTGCCCCAGGATTTCCTTTCTCCAGACTTACACCCAACAAGATTCAGATGTACTCATTTATTAATAATTAACTCTTGTTATAGACTTGGAGTGGAGGAGAATGAAAAAACTGTTAAAACAAGACTGAGTAAAACAAAACAGAACAATGAGACTAAGGCACTGAAAATGTTTCTTGTCTATTAAAAATAGAGTAAATGCTGCATACCACTCCTGCCAAGGACAAAGATTATAAAAGTAATGTGCTATCACTGGATATTGGGAAGCAGAGTTTGAAAAGCTCAGAGAATTCAGAACTTAGGTCTTAGCTAAATCCATCTGTATAGGTTAATAAAAGGAAACTCAATAGTTCTCACATCAAAGTAACCTATTTATTTCAATGACAACTAGAAAGGAATTAAACTACATGCAAAAAAAAGATTTTTAATTGATGAAAATTGGAAAAGAAATTCTCAAAAAATTAGAAAGGCAAAGAAAATGCCCTCAACAACTACTGTTCAAAACCTCATGGTAGGTGTGATCTAAAAAAAAATTTACTACAAAAAAAGCGCCCACATAAAGTGATCCTTTTTTAGCTGTATTATCACTAATTATCGCTTGATTACATTTTATATCATCTAGTCCAGCACAGGGAAAAAAATTATTGAACATAAAACACCATCATATTTTTTCTTCAGTATCTAAGTATTGTCTGTATAATTAGGAACTTCAGGTTTATAAGCAGAGAGTTCTAATCAAATAAATGCACTGAAAAGACCATAACAATCCTCTCAGCTTGACAAACTTTAGACAGGCTTCTTCCTGACTCTAGATCCTGGTCTTTCTTAAGTATTTTATTTAGAAAACTTGTACTTATAAATTCCTTCTCTGCTCCTCTGAGATGTAAATCTTCTTAAAGTCCTCTTGTCAGTTTTGTAATCGAGGAATACCTTTCTCAAGGACCTGGGAGCCATCCTTTTGGAATGTAATTACTGATGAAGAGAGCAGCTCTCCTGTCTCTCAGCCTCTAGGAGGTAGGAGCCTAACTTACTTGACAAGCACCAATTAGCTAACAGAGATGGCTCAATCACAGAGAAAAAAATATTTGCAAACCCAGGAAATGACTGAATTTGCTCAACATGTTCCATTGATCAACCTCCCCCCCTCACCCGCATCCTCCGGTACTTTTCCACTAGTTTATCTCAGTGCTTAAAAATCCTGCCATTTGCTTCAGTGGAGTTGACTTCAGATTTAGTTCTGCTCTCCCTCCTCTATTGCCATAGACTTGAATAATGTCCTTTGCCTGTGTATCTTTGCCCAGTGCAATTTTTGTCTTGACAAAACCTATCCTAAAGTTCTTAAAGCCTCTACGAAAAAAAAATAATAATAATAACCTTGAATAGGATAAATATTTAATCATTTATTTTCTTATGTTTCAGAAGAATTTTGCTGTAGGCAGATAGCATAGATACATATTATAATTATAGCATATATGTGTATATTTATACATATAAATAAAATAATTACATATTTATATAAATACATTAAGGGGAACCAGAATATGCCACCTCAAAATATTCCTCTTTGTCATAAGATAGTTTTGAGCTGATGACAATTGAGAAAGAGAAGCAGAAAATTTCTAAAAACAAAGTATAAATTTCTCTTTTGTAAAGGGAATTCACATTTACAAAGGAAAGTTGCACTTGTAATGGTCTCTCCCTCTCCGGCACCAGGAAGGAGGACAACTCATAATTTAATTTAATTTAAACTCAATTTAAATCTCAATTTAAGAGCATAATTTTTCTCTTGTTAAAATCATTTATCTAATTAAGTACTTAACAATTTTTAGTGAAACAGAACAAAGGAATAGACAGAGAGCATATTTAGCCAGAGGGGAATTTCGAGATAGCTCTGTTCTCCTGCTACACACAAAGTGTGAGTCCACTGAGCAGCCAAGATACTAATAGAATTTTACTAAGATGTTAATATTCTCCTAAAAGAAGACACAAACCAACAGTGTGATTTTAAAATCACCATTTAGCCTGTGTAATGAAGAGTTGGGGTAGAGTGTTGTCCATTTTGTAAAGGTTTTAACATGTACACTTTTGTTTGCTTGTCTTGTGTCAGGCACTGGGATTTAGGTTGCTTTGTTTGATAAAGAAATGTGGAGAAATGCTAGAGTAGATTATATAGTATTTTATTTAATACTTCATAATACTTCAACAAAGCAAAATTGAGCAAAAACCTCCAACAGAGATCTTTTGTAATATTCTCATTCTTTCTACTAAAAGGATGTGAAAGGAAGATAAAGATTACCAATGTTTCAAAATAAGTTTTCAGCTCTTTCTTGATACTTGGGCTCTAAATCCTTTTTCCTTTGTGAATAAAATACTCTGAGCACTGACACTCACAGCTTCATGTTCCAGTGTGTCTGAGATTCTCTCCATGATCCCCTTGACTCACGTTCTTGCACCTCAATTCTGAATTACATCAACTCAGTTAAGAAACACAGCTTTTGCTCTTTTCTCTGAAAAAGACACTTTACAATAATGATAAGCAATCATCTAAAAAACATACACAGGAGGGAGCTCCTCAGACTTCCCATTGCTTCCTCTCCTTTTTGTGTGCCATGCATTTATTTTTTAATACAGATTTCTGTCACCCCAGACTGCTGTCATTACTGCCTTCTTGGAAAATTCCTTCTGCCTCTAGCTCCTGATTGCTACAGAAGACTCCTTCCTGGTTCTTACACTTGACTCCCAGATTGCTGAATTAGACCTGTTTTTAAAATGCTTCTAAGATCTGCCTCCAAAGTCTTGGCTTCCTTTTCCATTTTCTAAAGTTTCTTTTCAACTCTTGCTTCTTATTCTCTGCCCTTGGGTATCCTTTCTATTCTGAGGGTCCAAATATCCTAGGCAACCATTATACAAGACCTAGACCTACTTCCTTCAACGTTTGCTATGCTGCCTGTTCTTTAAATAAATTCCCAAATTTGTATCAGTACTTTATCAAAACATCCCCAAATTTGACTTCACTATGCTATTACTAATTCTTCTATTTCTAGTTCCCACCTCTGTTTCTACTTTCCAGTTTCTTTCCTAAAGACAACATTTTTTAAACTGGGTGTTTAAAAATTTCAACTGACCTTTAATTTTTAGTTTTTGGCTTTCCAGGCTGTAAGAATTTTCTTCAAACACACTATATTCTGGAGACCTCCAAATAACCAATATTTTCCTAATATGTCTCAGCAAATATGGCTGTCAGATCTAGAATGCTCCAAGCAAATATTTGTAAATATTCCTGATCCAGTATCTCAAGTTGATTTATTTTTTTCATTGCCCATATAAAAAGAATCTCTTCATTTTTTATTGAGGGATCATACCCTCCAACACACTTGGTTGGTGATAACTATGCCTATGATTAAGATTTATTTAAAATCCACTAGAAGCCTAGAGATGGCTAAGCAAAGAATAAAAGAACAGGGGATCCCAAAGGCACCCAGCAATCACAAAAACGCTATGAAAGTAATCACAAATAAATATCTTCCCATGTGCATGTATGTACCCATGCAACTTATTATATCCCCAAACTCTAGTTTCGCTCAAACATTTAGCACTGAAAGGCAAAACGAGAGTCCAAGTAGATGCAGACATTTAATGCACGTGATCCTGCCCCTACCCCTCCTTGACCCTAAAGACAGGTAGGAAGGTCATTAAAAGGCCCAGGAAATGAAGTGCCTATGCCTACTTCAAACCTCTCTGAGAAAAAGGGATAACAGAAAAATAACCTGAAGCCAATACTCCAGAGTGGCTCTAACAAAAAATAATAATCATAAGAATAAAGAGGATGATATCACAAGCAGGTGAGTAAGGAATAGAATTCCTAGTGCTATAAAAATGTTTTTTGCTGCCAAAGATGAATAGAGAAGTAACAGAGAGCAGGGCATCCCAACGGCTCTCCTGAGACCTACAAATTCTAACAAATGAAAAATTAATTCATTCCAAATACTTAGCATATAAGCTTTACAATCTCAAATTAAAATATGTGAATCTTTGCTATATTTTCCAACTAATAAATTTATTGTAGATCTGATTAAAGTTGTTCAATATCATGAATTATGAAAACTAACTATATTTGGACATGATTGCCTAAAACTAAATCATTACAAAGTCTATACCCTAAAAAGAATCCTATGCCTGCAAGACATAGATTAAAGTGATTAATGACTCCCCTAGTTGAGTATTATCATTTACTATAATTGAATTACTTTAAGCATTTGGCCCAGTAATATATTATTATTAAATATATACAGAACAGTAGAAGTAAAACATGCCAGGGAAACAATGTCTTTGACCTTCAAAAACCCAAAATTTAATTACTTAACCAATCCAATTTATGATCAACAAAGCCAAACAGGATTCAAATTTATGCTTTATGTACTGCATTTGGAAAAATTCTGGACCACTTCTTCAATCCATTGTATATCATGATATATCAAACATCTCTCATTGCTATGGTTTGAATTTTGGATGCTTTGTGTACCTAACTTTTATAGCTCTATTCAAAATTCCCTATTTCCCTGTTTTTCAAATTACTGTAGTTATATCATTGTTTATTTGGGGTGGGATGGGCAGTTTTCATTGTAGTTTCAATTTTATATAACTTACAATTAGCCTAAGAATATTACTCATACTATAAAAGTATGGAGTATATAATCCTGTAGTTGGACTGTATTATCTTAAGATAAAAAGTTTTTAATAAGAAAGTTTGTGATTTATAAGACTGATATGTTGAATCATAATTTTATATCTTACATGTAGTAAAAGTCTCCCATTTCAAGTTAACAATTCAGTGTTTTTAATAATTTTACCAAGTGGTCCAACCACCATCATAAATTAGTTTTAGTACATTTTCATTCTCCCAATAACATCTCTGTCTATGTACAGTTCATCCTTGTTCCCCCTCCCAATCCCAGGAATCCACTAATTTACTTTCTGTCTTATAAAGTTGTCTTTTCTGGACATTTAAGATAATAATATAAACTGGCTTTGAGTAGTAGACAATCTTCTGGGGAGGAGTGAAACACCTGGACTGGGACTCATTTCCCTCCTCATTTGTAGAGTAGGGCTGACTCTTCCCAGAAAGAAAGAAGGCATACATCCAGGTCTAACCACCTTATAAAGTGATGATAACTGGAGCACCTGGTAAAACAGAATAATGATATTTGATAGAAGAATAGTCCTTATCTATGGAATGCTCTAAGGAGAATGTACATGACTTGGGCTTGTTTATGGCCATCAAACACAGGATCTATATCTATCTATCTATACATATATATATATATATATATATATATATATATTGGCATCATTAACCTACACTTACATGA